TCTGGAATACCTATTATGCAGCCGTTTGGCCATTTAATGGTATCTAGGATTTCCCATACATTGTCTTCATTTTTAATGGTTATTCTTATATTTTTTTCAGTTGCTTGGACTAAATTGGAGATTTTGTCTTCAAGGTCAGAGATTCTTCTGTGTGGTCTAATCTCTATGTCACCTGCTGGCCCCATATTTTTACTTCTAAGTTTTTGTCTCTCATCGGCAACATAGAGTTGGATCTTTTTTTTATCGGCCAGTCTGACATTATCTGCCTTTCCATTGGGCTGTTAGGCCATTCACACTTTAATTATGTGTATGTTTGGATTTGTATTTGCCATTTGCTTTTTGTTTTATATATGTCTCCTGTGTTCTTATTCCTGTCTCCTTTATTGTTTTTATTTTTTTGGAGAGGTTTTTTCGCTATAGGGTGCGTGCGCTTGCCAAACAGACAGAGAGACAGAAAGCGAGAAATCACCCCCAGGGTGGATGGTCACGCCGCAATCCCTTCTCCTCCATTCTCCTCTCGGGATCCTGGGCACACACGTACATGCGCCTGGTGTGAGTTTTAAGCCACCGGGTCCGGGACGCGAACCGCAGTCGACTACGTGGGAGTCCAGCGACATAGCCATTATGCTAACTACTGATTCCCTCCTTTATTGTTTTTTTTTTTGTGGTAAATATTTTCTAGTGTGCCATTTTAATTACTCTTGACTTTTTACTATATATATATTTTAAAGTTGTTTTCTTTGTTATTGCTGTTGTTTTCTTTATTATTGCTGTTGGGATTACATAATACATTTTGATAGTCTGCTTAATATGAGTAAAGTATAAAAACTTTATCCTAATATATCTCTCATCTTTCTCCTTCATTATGCCACTGTCATAATATACATTTATAAGTTTTAAAAGCCCAGCAATACAGTATTATAATCATTGCTTTACATACTCATAAGTACTTTGAAGAGGTAAGAGAAGAAATAAGGAAAGTTTATTCATGGAATAGTTCTAGATTCACCCACATGTTTACTATTAGGTTGTTGGGAAAATCATGATGCATTTTTGCATAAAAAACTTAGAAAAATACATTAGGACTTTTCCGATGACATAATATCTCTCATGGTCTTCATTTCTTCTTGTGTGTTTGAATCTGTTGTCTTTTTCTTTAGCTTCATGAACTTCCTTTAATATTTCCTGTAAGACAGGTCTGTTAGCAAGAAATCCTCTTAGTCTTTGTTTATCTAAGGATATCTTTTTTCCTTAATTGATGAAGGATAGTTTGCTGCCTTCTTGGTAAACAACATTTTTTTTCAAATCTTTGAATATGTGATTCCACTGCCCTATGTCCTCTGTTGTTTCAGACTGATAGCCAACTGTTAATCTTTCTGATGTTGTCCTGCACACACTTTTAAGATTTTTCTCCTGAATTTGCTTTTAACACTTTGATTATGATGTTTCTAGGTGTAGGTCTCTCAAGTGGTGTTTCTTCTACTTGAAGCTCATTGATCTTCGTGGGTCTATAGATTTTTTTTTTTTTTTGAGAGATTTTTACCTTAGGGTGTGTGTGTTTGCTAGAGAGACAGAGAGACAGAAAGTGAGAAATCACCCCCTGGGAGGATGGCCATGCCATAATCCCTTTTCCATTTTCCTCCTGAGATCTTAGGCTTGCACACATAGTGCCCAGTATTAGTTTGACGCCACCAAGTCTGGGACATGAATCATGGCCACGTGGGAGTCCAGCAACATAACTGCTATACTATCTGCTGGTCCCTGGATCTATAGATTTAACTTTCCTAAGAAAAAGAAAATTTGAGAAGTTTTGGCCAGTATTTATTGTATTTTTTTCCGGTATTCCTCTTTCTTTTATCCTTCTTGTACTCTAGAAATGATGGCAAGGTGTGGATGTTCTTTTTTTTTTTTTTTTTAGAGGTTTTCACTGTAGGGCGCGTGCGCTTGCCAGACAGACAGAGAGAGACAGAGAGACAAAGCGAGAAATCACCTCCAAGAGGGATGGTCACACTGCAATCCCTTCTCCTCCATTCTCCTCTCAGGATCTTGGGCACGTACGCACACGCGCCTGGCGTGAGTTCTAAGCCACTCGGTCCGGGATGCGAACTACGGTCGACTACTTGGGAATCCAGGGACATAGCCATTACGCTAACTGCTGGTTCCCAGATGTGGCTATTCTTCATGTCTCTGGAGCATCGTTTGTTTCTCTTTAATGTTTTTTCTTTCTGTTGTTCAGATTGGACAATTCTTGTTGTATCTTTAAGGGTCACTTTTTTTTTCTGTCATCTTGAATGTGGTTTGGGGCCTTCCTGGTAATTTTTTTTTTTTTTTTAAACTGTTGGGTGTATATGCTTGTTAGAGAGAAAGTGGGAAATCACCCCCAGGGGGAATGGCCACGCTGCAGCCCCTTCTCCTCCATTCTCCATCTTGGATATGCACACATACTTGACATGATTCTCAAGCTGCTGAGTTCAGGACTCAAACTGTGTAGTCGGTTATGTGGAATCGTGCCTTAGACTCTGTGCCACCTGCTGACCCCTCTGATACATTTTTTTATTTCAGTTACTATACTCTTCAACTTCAGAATTTCCATTTGGTTGTTGGCATAATTTCTGTGCCTTTTGTGAGAATATCTATTGATTGATCATTTTCATAATTAAAATTTATTATTTTTTTTTTGGTAGAGATTTTTGCCTTAGGGCACATGTGCTCACCAGAAAGAGATGACAGAGATAGTGAGAGGGCAAGTGAGGAATCACCCCTCCATGGGGGATGGCCTCACCATGGTCCTTCCTCCTTTATTTTCCTGAGATCTTGGTCACGCTTGCACATGTGCTCGGTATGATTTTCAAGCTACCGGGTCTGGGACTCGAACTGCAGCTGGCCATGTGGGAGTCTAGCAATATAACTCCTGTGGCATCAGCTGGTCCCCAATATAATAGTGTTTTTAAATGGTTCCTTAATCTTTGCCTTTTTCTTTTGAAAAAATCTTTTAGATCTTTGTCTTCTCAGTGTCCTTTACTATCCCATATCGCTGAAGCTTTAGAGTCTAAGCCTAGGTATATAGTTTTAATAAGGCCAGGACTTTTTTCTTAGTTACTACCTACTAATATTTTATTCCCTCCAATTTTGACTTAAAAACAAGTCAGTATGGGGCCAGTAGGTGACATGCTAGTTGAGGTGCTAGACTCCCACATAGCCAACTGGTGTTCAACTCCTAGACCCTGCACCCTGAAAATTATGCTGAGTGCATGTGCGTGCATGCCCAGAATCCCAGGAAGAGAATGGAGAAGAAAGGATCAGAAGGGACCACAGCGTGGTTATCCCTCCCCCCAGGGGGTGATTTCTCACTTTTTCTCTCACTATCTCTGTTTCTCACTGGCAAGTGAAACCTTAAAAAAAAAGCTAAAAAGGTCAATGCACTGATATTTATACATAATATATTTACAAAGAGTGATCACTACTAGTCTGCAGATATTGTATTTGCATAGTAGTTTTCCCTCCAATAATGTTTCTTGTTTGTTGTTTGTGCCTTTGTTTTTTTATTGTAGGAGTTGGATGGCATAAGTGATTAAGGTGTTACTGAGGGTTCCTGAAGCCTATGAAAGGTAGAAATTCAGCCATGATTTCTTTTTCAACTCTACAGCATTCCCTTCCTTGAAGTCTTCATTTTTACCTTAGTCTCAGGTAATTTTAATACTTTTTCAAAATCTTGAATAAGTAAATTTTTTCAAATACGAAACCATTTTTTGGCTGCCAGAATATCATGTTGTTTATGATTGTTTCTTGGTGTTTCGATATTTGTATCTTGGAGAAGATTTAATTTTTTTCTTAATGTTTAATTTTTTAAAACAATTTTAAGAGAAAATTGATGAATAATGATGTTTTAAATTTAGTTTGATATAGAGAATATGTTTAATTTATTATTTTATCTTAATTAAAATTTAAATGAGAAGTTTCCTTGTTTTTAATCCTTTTCTTCAACAGCATATTGCATTTTTTTCACCCCTGCCCTATCATAAACACAAAAATACCTACATTAGATTTTCCAGAGTCTCTAAGGAAATTTATTTTTATACTTGGGAACTTATTTTCATACTTGGAAAATTAGACTTGTTAGTGAGATTTAATATCGTTTGCTATATAACTTTTAAAATGTCAAAACTATAACATTACTGTACATATGTATTTGCCTATACTAATATAAAGAGGCAGTCTTGTAGATAACTTAGTGTAATAATTTGAATTTGGTATATTGATATTTGACATTAGTTATAGATTGATATATAACTATATATAACTATTATATTTAATATATTAGATGTATGTGTTATATTTGATACATTAGTGTGTAGACTTGGCTACTGTGATAGAGGCTTATAAAGGTGTGTTTATATTTTTCTAGAAGTATATTTATATTTACTCGAGAAGTCTTTGCAAACTGTTGAGAGTTTATGGAGGTTTCAGAATCATCATGACCCAGGCTAATTTGTCTTGCTCTGGTGTTTATAATATGTGGCTTCTATCTTGTATTATAGTCCAGGATGGTTGTCATCATGTCTGCTAACAGTGAAGAAAGAGGGGAAGGCCATTCTTATTTCCATTAAGGGAAGTTATGTATATTACTCACATTCCTTTGGTTGTAAACTTGTCAGGTGGCTACTGTGAGCTACAAGGGAAGCTGGGAAATGAGTCTTCCCTAGGCAGATGTGTCTCAATTTTTATTATTAGGTAAGAGAGAGAACAGATTTTGGGGAGATAAGCTTTCCACTTAATACAAATAAAGGTATGTTGATTTTAATAGTTAATACTTTTTTTTGTACTGGGATGATTTTTGATTACTATACATAGTAAAGGTTACCATTAGGTGTTTAGCATTTGTTTATTGAACACAGAAAAGTACTTTTTGTGCTTTTGGTGTTATATGAAGCTACAGAAAATGTATAGTTTCCTGGTAGAATCGATATTTTGAATATTAATGTTTGAATTGTCAGTATTGGCATAAAATATAATGGATTCAATAACCAGATCAACAGAATGTAGGATTCTTTTATTTTTAAAAAAACATTTAACCTTTTCCCTCCTCTTCGTTTCTCCTTTTTTTCCCCCCAGTTGTGAGAGAAAGGGACAGATACAGAGATGTATTTTGATAGGGTCTTTACTGTTAACCTTCCTCTCAAGTCTTCCAGTTAGCTAGGATTAAAGGTGTGCACAGCTATGTTTGGTGTGCTCAGCTCCGTCTGGGAATTGTACCCAGGCCTTCTATGTAGTTTCCAGCCTCCCAAGCAGAAATGTTACCTGTGTACCAGCACAGCTCTGCCACCCTCTCCTTTTAAAGATACATTGTTGTCTTTTCTTTTTTATTTTTAAAAAATTGCCAGAGTGTATATTTACTTACTAGAGAGAAAGAAAACATCTTGTTGTCTTCCCAAAGTGTGGTTATACCACAATAAGTTTTCTTCCATTTCTCCATTCCATCAGGATTTTGGACAAATGCACATGTGCCTAGTGTGTTTTTCAACCCAGTTCTGCTAGAATTCAAGCTGTGGTTAGTTCTGTGGGATTTAATCTCTCTCTTTTTTAAATAATTATTTTATTTAATTTTATTTGTCATTATTATTTGATCAGAGAAAGATAGAGATAGAGAAAGAAAGTGAGAAAGCAAGCCTCCAGGTCCGAGATCTAAACTGCGGTCAGCCATGATGTGGGATTCCAGTGTCTTATCCACCATGCCACCTGCCACCCCAGATTTGATTCTATTAACCACTGCGCTATGGGACCAGCTTCATAGCTGTTTTTTGTTGTTTTTTAAATAACTGTTTATTCAATTTTATCTATCATTTTTTATTATTTTAAAATTTGCTACAGGGAGTGTGTGCTCACCAGGGAGAGAGACAGAGAGAGGGAAAGAGAAAGCAAGCCACCAGGTTCAGGACTTGAACCATGGTTAGTCATGTGGGAGTCCAGTGCCTTAACCACCGTGTCACCTGCTGGTTACCATAGTTGTTCTTTAACAAAGTTTGAGTTGTACAGATATTTTAGTATATATTTCGAAGTTCTCTTTTATTACTTCTTAATGCAAGAGGGCATGTGCACATACTAGAGAGAGTGCAAACAGAGACGAAGCACCTTCTGTATTGGGTCACAGCATGGTCCTTTTTCCCTCTGTTTCACCATCTTGTTGAGATTTTGGGCACCTATGTACATGTGCCCGTTGGTGTTTTTTAAGCCTGTAGGCCCAAGATTCCAACCATGGTTTGGCCATGTGGGATCAGATTTTTCATGCAGAGCACTTAACCACTAACAGGATAGCCTGATATTTGTATTTCTGACATGGATATTTTAAAAGGTATAATTTCTCACTGATTCATGCATAGATTAAAAAGTTAATATCCAAATTAATGGAACTGGCATCCTCTAAATAACAAGGAGTTGCTGAAAATGCTTTTAATCAGGGACCAGCAGTTAGCATAATGGCTGTGTCGCTGAACTCCCATGTAGTAGACCGTGGTTTGAGTCCCAGACCCAGTGGCTTGAACCCAGGTCGGGGGCGGGTGCATTCACCCGAGAGGAGAATGGAGGAGAAGGGATTGCGGCATGGCCATCTCCTCCGTGTGTGTGTGGGTGATTTCTCGCTTTCTGTCTCTCTCTCTCTCTCTCTCTCTGTCCTTCTGGTGAGCACACACGCCCTATAGCAAAAACCTCTAAAAAAAAAAAAAAGCTTTGAATCAGAAGTAATTTTTCTCTTTCTTTTTAAAGAATTATTTTATTTAACTTGATTTGTTTTTAATTTGACCAGAGAGGGACAGAGTGAGTGAGAGAGAGGAAAAGTGAGAGAGCAAGCCGCCAGGTCCGGGACTTAAACCATAATCGACCATGTGGGAGTCTAGTGCCCCTTAACCATGCCACCTGCCAGCCCCGTGTTTTTTTGTTTGTTTTTGTTTTTTAACGTTTATTTTATTTATTTTTTTTTAATTAAATTTAGCTTTTCTCTCTTGCTTTCAGAACAAATTCCTTTGAATTTTTCTGCTTACAAGTGAAGTATTGTTTTAGTTTGGAGGGGCCTGGTACAAGAGAGGAGGAGGTATTTTTAATTTTGAGAGAATATTTTATGTTTTTTTTTTTAATTTGTCAGAAGGCACGTGTATTTGTCTGGGAGGGGGGAAGCATCCCTCAATGGGGGCATGGTTATACCTTAGTCTCTTCCTCCATCTCTGCATCTTGTTAGGATTTGGGCACACTTGCACATACCTAGCATGTTTTTATTTATTTCTCTTTAAGAATTATTTATTCGGGGCCAGCAGATGGTGTAATGGTTACATTGCTGGACTCCCATGTAGTCCACCGTAGTTCAAGTCCTGGGCACAGTGGCTTAAAACTTACACGAGGAGCATGTGCGCGTGTGCCCAAAATCCTGAGAGGAGAATGGGGGAGAAGGGATTGTGGTTTGGCCATCCCCCTGGGGATTTTTCGCTTTTTGTGTCTCTGGTGAGCACATACACACACTGTATAGTAAAAATCTCTCTTTTTAAAAAAAATTATTTAATTTTACTTATTATTATTACTATTATTTTTAATTTGCTATAGGACACATGCTCACCAGAGAGAGAGAAGGTGAGAAGACAACCTGCTTGGTCCAGGACTTGAAATGTTGGCTCCCATGTGGGAGTCTAGTAACTTAACAAGGCATACCACCTGCTGACCCCCCCCTTTTTTTTTTTTTTCATTTTTTTAAAAAAAAATCTGTCATAGGCCATGTGGGATTGCTAGGGTGGGGGATGGAGAGATAGAGACAAAAAGAGAGAAAGTGAGAAATTATGTCTCAGGAGGATGGCCATACCACATTCCCATCTCCAATATTCTCTTGGGATTTTCGACATGCACACACATGCTCCCACTGTTTTTTAAGCTGCCTCGTCCAGGACTTGAACCATGGTTGACCTTATGGAAGTCTACTGCCTTAACTGTTACGCCATCTGCTGGCCCCCAACCCCTCATGTTTTTCAAGCTGCTGGATGTGGAACTCAAACTGCACAGTTGGCATATGAGATCTCTCTCCCATACCCACCTGACCACAGAGCTGGTCCTGGGGGAATATTGGAAATTGGAAATTTTTCTCTCTTTTTTTTTTTTTTTTTTTTTTTTTTTTTGGAGTTTTGGTTTTGGGGGGGTAGATTTTTGCTATAGGGTGCATGCTCTCGCCAGACATACAGAGAGAGACAGAGAGACAGAAAGCAGGAAATCACCCCCCAGGGGGGATGGCCATGCCGCAATCCCTTCTCCTCCATTCTCCTCTCGGGATCTTGGGCACGCACACACACGCGCCCGGCGTGAGTTTAAGCTACTGGGTCTGGGACTCAAACTGTGGTCGACTACGTGGGAGTCCAGCGACATAGCCATTATGCTAGCTGCTGGTCCCGAAATTGGAAATTATTCTTTAGAAAAGACAGTGATATTTAGGTTCATACGCTGGCCTACTATGATCTTTTTTTCATCATAATATATAGTTGAAGTTTTACATTGTTCAGTAAAAGTTCACAGAAAATAATAGTCCTACCAAACTCAATAATAAAAACAAAGGCAGGACCTTTAAATGATAAATATTTATTTCTTTCACACTTGAATGCAGATTAATTAAAAGTGGCAGATAGATGTGCTTGTACATTCTAAAGGGGAACTAGGTACTT